CTCTTTTCTTTGTGCCTAGCAGTATTTTACAAGTGTTTTTCTTTGGAAATGTATTACATTCATATAGAAAGAATTTTAAAATATGAAAGATAGCCATGGCCCTCTCTTTTTTGAATTTTTAAAATTTTTAATTTAGTTTTAATTACAGTTTACATTCTATATTATTTTGTGGAGTTTCAAGTGTATAGCAGAGTGGTTGGACAATCACATACTTTACAAAGTGTTCCCCCTGATATTTCAAGTACCCACCTAGTCCCATACATAGTTATTACAGTATTATTGACTGTATTCCCTATGCTGTACTTTATATCCCCATGACTATTCTGTAACTACCAGTTTGTGCTTCTTTATCCCTTCATCTTTTTCACCCACTCCCCTAACTCCCCTCCTCTCTGGCAACCATCAGTCTGTTCTCTGTATCTATGAGTCTGTTTCTGTTCTGTTTGTTCATTGATATTGTTCTCTAGATTCCACATATGAGTGAAATCACATGGTATTTGTCCTTCTCTGACTGACTGACTTTGCTTAGCATAATACCCTCTGGGTCCACCATGCTGTAGCAAATGGTAAGAGTTCATTCTTTTTTTTTTTTAATGGCTGAGTAATATTAGCAATGGTGCTCTCTTAATCAGTGAGCACCAATGAGAACTTCCTTAGGTTTGTGAAACACTGACAGGGGGATAAAGGAACACTGCAATAACTACTACTAATAACAATAATAAGAATATGTGTTGAGTGCTTACTATATGTTGGAGTTTTCCAGGCACCTCATTTAATCCTTACAATAATCTTCCATGATAGGTGCAACTATTAGTATCTTCATTTATGGATGAGGAACCTGAGGCTCAGAGGTCACACATTATCAAGTGGTAGAAGCACGAATCAAATCCAAGTACTCCAACGGCAGAGCCCTGGCTTGTGACTACTACATTATACTACTCCTCTTTACATGATTAAAGAGATACACACAAGAGACCGACTACTGCTTTATCTTCTCCCTCATGTAAGAAGCAACTACTTGCCATCAGCTGACTATGTGGGCAGGGCGAGAAGTAGTCTTCGTGTGTGTGCTGAAAGAGGTCAGATGCACAGAGAGCATGAAGTGACTTTCCTAAGGTTGCACAACAATCTGACGGTTGAATGGGTTCCAAAAGTCCACTTCAGCATCACAACAGGTGGACTCTGCTTTGCTTTGGTCGCACCAGCAAAGCTTATCTTGTGGGAATTATCCAATTTCAAATCAGCTACACAAGTCCAAATGATTTATTAAAATTCCCTGATATTAATGGTGTTGTTCTGTGGTGCAATTCCTGTGTTAACCACATGGTGATGCTGCAGTCAAATCTAGGAATTTGGGGAAGGGGGTTAAGGACATTTGCAGTATTTTCAAAAATTGTAATACCGCTACACAGAGGTAATGCAGCCATCTAAAAGAAGGAGGTACAACCATATGACTTTTAAGGAACATCTGCAAGATATGTAAATGAGTTGAGAAAAGTAAGTCATTAAACAATAAGAAGAGTAGGCTCCTGTTTGTCTAACTTTTTAAAAAAAGAATATACATGCATATGCAGATATGTGCATGATGTTTTTCCTGAGAGTATACAAAAACAGACAGTTAACAGTCATTATTTTGAGGAGTGGGACTAGGGTCCAAGGGAGGGGGGAGGGTGTTTCCTTTTGATTTTATGTTTTTAAAATACTTCAATTTTTAAATGATTTGTACCTATTAATTTAAAAATCATTATTACAAAAACAGTCTAAATGCTGTAAAAAATTTGAATACAGCAGAAGCTAATAAAAGTCCCTTCTCCTCCGCCTCTTAATCTAATCCCTAGAAAACAGGAAACCACGGATATGAGTTTGGGACCTTGTGTCTTAGTGTAGTTTCCAGAACAACAGCATCAGGATCATCCAGGAAGCCATTAGAAATGCAGTTTCTTGTACCCCACCTCAGATTTGCTTAACCTCCATAGTGGGGTCTACTAATTTGTGTTTTAAGAAAACCTTTTGGTAATTTTGATGCATGCTTACAGTTGAGAACCATTCCATTTTAGCAGGTCAGACCAGATCTTTGGTGGCAGTGTTGCTGGGATGGGTTGAGAAGAATCCTACTGGGGAAATCTAATAACATATCCCCACTTACCCAGTGAGCTCTAGCGCAAGGGCTGGAAGCTTTTTGCGCTCACTGTGACCTCTGTGTTGGGGTCGAGCAATGACCACACTGCCACAGTTTGGAGACGTTATTCAGAAACGGGAACTACATTGGAAGAAGAAAGGAAAAAAGAGTATAGAAGAAACTAAAGGAAGAATGAGTCAAGAAAGGAAAAATGGCAGAGAAAGAAAGCAGATAAAAAAATCATAAGATGGCGAGTAGATGACGCTGACATCTCAGGGCCACTCATTCATTGAGTTATAAGTATTTATCATTTTAAAATTCTAAGTCTCCGTATCTTTATGTTCATTTTCTTCCTCTAACCCACACTTTTCATATCTGTGAAACCGAGGGTCCTTACGGCTTTGATTAAATTTAGCTTTAAATCCTAGCTCTAGAAATCATATGTCTGTCTCTCTCTATGTATATATCCCCCACCCCCCATAATCAGCAAGTCACAAGGCAGTCAGTCCTGACTAATGGTCAAAAGGTTGGGACCTCTTGCAGGGTAAAGATAACATTTTGACCTAAGTTCTGTTTCAGCTCCTGAGCCCTAAAGTGAAGGACCCCCTAGCTACTTTCCTATGAAACCAGACAGAAGGACACAGGAACAGACCTCAAAAACTGTCCTTAAGACCTGAAGAAATCATTACTCTTACCTCACCTCCAACCAATCAGCTCTGAGCACAACCCCAAATCCCTAGCTCACAGTGTCTTGTGGTTTTTCCCTTTGTCATTTTTAACTTACATGCCATCAGGGAGTTGGGGATTTCGGACATTAGCTTCCTGTTCTCCTGGATGTCACCATTCATAATAAAATAGGCAGTATTTCTCCACTAGCGTTCTCAGCTTTTAGTGTTTGGCTCTGCTAGCACCGGGTGGACGAACTCTTTCTGTTCCTCTGACCCACACATTTCATTGTCCGTCATTTACCAAATGCAGTAAGGTAATTATTTCTTACACCATTCAGTGTCTTCACATAAGGGAAGTGTTTGCTAGTGATCCCTGCTTCCTGGCTAAAAGGTCATGAGCTCTCAAAGGTCATGAGCTCTCAAAGTTGCTCCAATGAGTCCTAATCTACTTATGGTGATAGAACATACGTGTGTGTGTATGCTTCCTGAGGAATTTCGCCTACTGAGGAGGTGTGAGGCATGGTAGGAGAGCAGGTGCACATAAAAGCACTCTGGATGCAGCAGTATAAACAATCAAGTCAACACATATGAAGCTCAGATTGGAAGGGATTTTCCAGAGTTCCTCAAATGTCGACCCTAGTCCCACACACTTGCCCCTCTGCAGAAGAGCCTGGGGCACGCTCCTTCAACTGAGCTGGGCAGGTGAGAGACAGTGCATACAAAAGGAAGCAGTTCTCACAAGGTTTGGGGGGAAACATTAAACAACTGTGAATATGAAAGTTCAGACCAAACAAAGCTTTGAGTATTGTTAGCTCATCTTTTTCTGGCAAAATATCCATCATTTACCTGCCACTTCCAAAACTTTGTTCTGTCTCATGAACATGCCTGTCCCAGTCAAAGAATCAGCTTTTGTTTTGTCAAGGGTAGCAGCTGTGATGAGGGGATTTAGCAGAAAAGGCTCCTCTCTATCACTGTGTTCCATTTCTTCTTTTTATTTGATGACATCTGCAAGATGTTATGGGCAACAATTCATTAAACCGAATCTTAAACTCATTGAGACACTTTGCTTCCTTATATTTTAAATAAAGAACATTTACTCTTAAAGAATCCTAGAATTGTAAAGCTGGAGTTTTGAGAAAAATGCGATGCCCAAGCCCCACCCCATACCAACTGAATATTAATCCCAAAGGGTAGGGCCAAGGGGGCATCTCTAGTTTTAAAGCCCCATAAGTGATTCCAACATGCAGCCAGGATTGAGAAACAGCTCTTGGTAAAACAAAAACAAACAAAAAAATAAGACCTACTGTTTTGGAAGCTCTGGGGAATCTGTATGTTATTAAAAATCCCAAGATAATTCTTATGGAAACCAACATTTGAGAAGCAGTGCTTTGTTCCAATTTAACATATTTATAGTTTTTGACTGTTTTGTTAAATAGTTGAGGTTTCATCTGTTCAACTGTCAAGTATGTCAGATAATATGTTTAGTATTAGTTCATTAAAGAATATTTACATGTATATATATGCATAGGGAAAACAACTGCAAGGATGATGGATGGATAGATAAACAGTGTGTCTGGGGAGCAGGAATATGAATGATCTTTGCAACCACCACCATCTTTCTATTTTATTTCTATTTCATTTTTTTCTTTCTGTATTTAAAAAAAGATTCTTCCTCTTTCTGACTTCAATTTCCCCTTGTGAAAAAGAGAGTGTTGTAACTTAGTGAACTTCAAGACCACGTCCTGCTCTAGCGGTTAGTGACTCCATACTACCCCCTAGCTCCTGTCTCCATTTCATAGCATAAACTGCATAACAACAGTGTTCGGAGAGTCATCGTGTACGACTCCTGTATGTATTACGTTGCGATGCCTAGCAACAGTTTTTCCTCCAGAAAAATTATTCTCTTCTTCCTCAAAGAGTCTGAACTGAAATAATCTCTACCGTCGACACCCCCTAAAGTTCATCCTCTCTCTTTCAACTTAGACAGGGCCGTCCGCGCATCTCTCTTAATAACGTAACAATGATCGTGAACCAAAAAGCCAGGGCGTGGTCGCCCCGCCCAGCCGCCCCTACATCACTATCCCTTTCGCCGCTTGCAAGCGCGGAGATTGGCTGAAGGCAAGAAAGAGCCCCGCCCCTAGTCTTATGACCCGCGCTGAAGCTCCCAGTCCCGGCTTTGGCAGCGCTGTGGTCGGTGGTCAGCGACGGTCTTCCTCCGCTTCCTTCCGAGCCTTTTCCGTGGTGTTGCTTCTCTTGCCGCCGCCTGTTCTGCGGAATCATGGTGTGCTTCCGCCTCTCCCCGGTACCGGGCTCAGGGCTCGTTCTGCTCTGCCTCGTCCTGGGTGAGTTGCCGGGCCCTCCTGCTTAGTCCCTCCGCCTGGGCCCGGGGCGCCCAGTTCAAAGGCCACAACCTGCCGGACTGGTCCCAGGGGGAGGGGGTTGAGAGGGTGAACAGCTGACACTGGGTGGCGGCGCTTGCCCCAGGTGGCGAGTTATGACCTAGAGAAAACCTGACCGAGGGATGGCGGGGGAATGAGGGCTAGTGAATAGTAAGAAGGAGCAAGTAAGGGAGGTGGGCTGGACGCCAAGGGAGTAGGTAGAGGAGAGCGAGGAGTGGAGCGGATTGGGGTGGGAAGAGTCATTTGGGGAACATACGAAGGACTGAGTTTACGAAGGCGGTCCGTGCTGATTCTGGGGTGGCAGGGACAATGAGGAAAGTCCTGGCTTCCTAGGATCAGGGAAGAGTTTTGAAGAGGGTGGAAAAGTATGGGGCAAGGCAGAAAATTGGGGAGGGAGAAGACTGCCTGCGTGAACTTGGGGGAAGAGAGCAGGTATAGCAGTAGACTTTGAGGGGCAGTGAGAGGGTTGGGAGCTTTTGTGGATAGGAATTGAAGGCTGTGGAGGAAGAGTGATTATAGACATGAGTGATGCTGGACTTGAGTTCGGTAGTTGGAATTTCCAGTGGGGGGAGGGACCTAGGGCACCTGGGCCATTCCCAAGCAAGAAAACTCTGGAGAGTAAAGGAGTGAGTGGGAACTTCAGTGGGGAGTGAATATCTGACTTGGAGGTGTTGAAGATGTCAGTTTTCTACCAGTTTTGCTACTTCTCCCAGCCAAAAAAGTCCCTGAATGTTTCAGTTGGGAGGACCTCCCAGAAGCGAGGTTTTGGGGGTGTATCTCAGTCTCGTATGCCTTTCTGCCTTCAGAAGCTCGTTTTCTTCTTCCCTTTTATACAATTGGCTTATTACCTGATTAGTAAGGTAACTTACTAAGGATGGGGTTGTTACCATGTCCTCAGAATGGCTGGGTAAATGTTGCCTGATTGTGCTGTGACCCCCCCCCAAAAGCAGCCAGTTTAATGCCTGAAAGGTGAACTTTGACCAGAATGTCTTTTCCTGACCTGATTCATCCTGTTTGTTGCTACCCACTGACTCTTGCTATTTGTGACTTAATTAAAAAAAAAAAAAAAGAAGGAACAGACAAGATAGGAATGGAGAGGAAATAGATATATTAGGGGCCTGAGAAGACCGTGAGAGATACACATTTATAATTCACATTTCAGTGAAGTAAAATCAACTCCCTAGAACAGTGGATTCTCAATCAGGGGATATTTAGCAGTATCTGGAGGCATTTTTGGTTGTCACAACTGGGGATTGTTTTTAACATCTAGTGGGTAGATGCTTCTATATCCTACAATGCACAGGACAGTTCCCCACCACCACCACCACCAAACAAAGAAGTATCTATCTCAGAATGTCACTAGTGCCAAAGCTGAGAAATCTTGCTCCAGAGCCATAGCATTGGAAGGATTCTTGATGGTCTAATCTAGTGATTCTCAAGAATCTTTGCTGAGTGAGTCTGTCAGATCAAAACTATTACCAGAAAAATACTAAGAATTTATTTGTCTTTTTTACTCTCATTCTCTCACCAGTGTACAGTGGAGTTTTCCAGAAGCTACATAATGAGTGATGACATCACCCTGATGGCTCTGATCTGTTTTATTCACTTGTCAGTTGTAACTTCTGTGGCAAATACCAATAGATATAACTCCCATAAGCCAAAGCTCTTTGAGGTTCTCATAGGTAAGAGAGTAAAGGGGGTCTTGACACAAATGTTTGTGAATCCCTGATCTAGTCCAGCTGTCCACACAGTGCAGGAAACTCTTCTGTAATCCTTCTGAAAATGGGCTGTGGAGGCTTTGCTCAAGCACAATTCAATGCTTTTACGCTACTGAGGGGTGAGCGACCCTAAGAGAGGATTGTTTACCAGAAAAGCACCTTATCAGTGACTAGAACACATCTGACCAAGGCATCTGTTAACCAGTAATTAATTCACTGCCATTTGAATCTGCACAGACACAACACTGTTATTGTTTAGAGAAAGTAAAAAAAAAAATAGTTGTCCTACTTGTTGGTTTTCATGTCATTAATTTTTTTTTGTTTTTAATGAAAGCTTTTTTGTTTTGTTTTTACAAAAGCCAAACTTGCTCGTTGCAGAAAATAAACAGGCAAAAAAAAAAAAAAAAAAAAAAAGAAGAAGAAAAAGAACCCATCAGCTCATCTGCTAGTTTGCCATTTATTGATTGGGACTAACTAGAATCATCCTTTTGGAAGATTTCCAAGATTGATTCCCTTCACTTCCAAGTTCAGAACAGGATTTGGAGGAGTGAAAGATAATAATGTACCAGATCAGATTTTTAAAAGGTACCAGGATGAAATAGAAACCATTTCTTCTATACAGCTGCCTTTTCTGACAGCTGTAGGTTCAGTGTGTGCTAACCCCTTCCATGTGGTTTTGTCTCTTGAAAATTTAGCAGGTCTTCAGTTTCTTGTTGCATTTTGCATGTTGCTTTTATATATCAAAATGGCTACCAAGAATAGGTTTTTGAAGACTCAGTAAATATTTGTAAAGTACCTGTTATGGATCTCATGCTGTTCCTGGGTACCACAGAGGGTACCCTTGAAGGATGATCTGTCCCAAATTTATAGTCCCGTTAACATTAGTGTTCTAGCTCTGCCACTTTGTGACTTTATAACTCTGTCCCAGCTTTACCAGTAAGTTTACTTTTTAAAAATAGCTGCTTTCAAGTAAGTATAGAAAAAAATTCTTTGACTCTGTGTACTGGTCTTTTTCACAAAGATTAAATTTTGCATATTTATTTCAATTGTAATTGATTAGAGAACTTTCGGGAAAAGAGCTTTATAGAGGCATTATAAAGAGAATACTAAATGAATGTTGTTTCCTACCATCATTGCCTGTGTTCCTTCTGCGTGACATCAGAGATTTCAGAATTCGTTGGTTATTGATTCTTATAACTAGTGACTTCTGGCTTTTATAGGATTAAGGCTTTTCTGGAAGGGAAAAACCTCATAGAACTATCCTGAATGTGTGCTTCACTGGTTGGAGCTCTTCCTTCCCACAAATGTTTATCGAATGCCTGTTGTGTACCAGTCATTATACTAGGTGAAAGGGATGGATACAATGACAGGAATAAGAGATGAGGTCCGTCCTTTCAGGGAGATTACATTTTAGTGGTAGAAGACAGCCCAGCAGATAAATAATAGAATTTCAGATAATGATAGGTGCTGTGAAGAAAATGCAGCAGGTGATGTAGAAGAGTAATAAGCAGATGATAAGAGTGGGTGATGGGGTCAGAAGTCCTTCCATTTTTGTGTGACATTTGTGTTGGAAGGAGGCCAGCCATGTGAGCATCTGGAGGAATAGGAGTAAACCTTGACTTCCCCAAAACTCTTTAGATTATCACACTAGCCTATTTTCCACTGTTTTTTTCCTAACAGTACCAGTCAAGTCTCCCCTATGGTATTGGTTTCTGAGAGCAAAAACTATCTTATGTACTATTACTTCCCTGCGCCTGTCTAGCACAGGGCTTGATACATATTTAACTCTGTAAATTTTTGTTGAGAGTATTCATTGGTGGGCACTGGGGATATATGATGGTGAACTACACCTACTTGGTCCCCTTTTCTCGAATCTTAAATAATGTTTCGCAAGAAGTTTGTGTGTGTGTGTGTGTGTGTGTGTGTGTGTGTGTGTGTGTCTTTGGGTTGAGAACTTCAAGATCAGTGCTAAGCAGTATAGATAATTATAAACCAATTCACTGAAGTATAATCCAATATAATAATGCTAGTATCTTACCTGTAACCCTTCAGATATACCTACATAGTAGTGAAAGTTAACATGAAGAACAAGAAAGTCTTTGGTTTTCACCAAGAACCAACCTCTCTCCTTGTGGAGGTGATTTAAAAGGGAATGGAAAGCATTGAGATTTTCCTGTAGCCTTACCACATTTGGTTAAACTGATAACTTTGATTTCAGCGTTCAGCTAAAATTATTATAGCTATCATAGAGCTACTTGAAAAGACAGGCTTATTATTTGTTCATTAGTCATTGGTCATCGTATCTGATAGGGTTATAGATATTCAGATATTTCCTGTGAGAGCAGCGTTCTTCCTCTGTATCCTCGGGTGGAATTTGCGATCAGGATTATTCACAATACTGTGCCTGACTTAAGTGATCTATTGGTGCAGGAAGGCTGCCCTTCCTCATGTAGTGACAAAGGCATTCCGATCATAATTTCCTATGACGATGACCAGAGGTCTCTGATCCAAAAGCATGCTTTGTAAGTACTTGTTGGTATCCTGCTATGTGTTGCAAGAGAATCCTGGAAGTCAACCAAATACCGCTCAGCAATAAACATTTTCCATTAGTTGAATAGCATTGAATTTTACTTCTTTACTCATTCTCTGACCTTAAAAAATTAAATTATTTTGTAGCTTGCAATCCCTATTTTCTTTTTTAAGAGATTTACCAGAAATCAAGAATATCAGCAACAGAATGTGCTGATTGTACCCATTATTAGGAATTGTATGTGAGGAATTGTATGTAAATGAGGAACAGTTAGTCTGATTTAACAAACCTCTGAATGGAAAGAAAGTAAATAGGTAGTGTATGCCTATGTCCTGTTCTTTTTTAAGATCTTTTGCTCAACATCATTCTGAATTGGTAAGTATGAGGACAAGAATCCGTAAGTCAGTATGATGAAATAAACATAACTAAAAGTTGGGAAGGATCCCTTTAGGTGCTTGTAAGGAAGCTTGTATGCTGGAACCTCTACCTTGCTTGGCAAACTTCTCTTAGCTCTGAAGGGTTTGTATGCTTTTGAAGAACCGATTAGAGAAATACGCACACTATAGTTCTTTGCGAGGTTAACTTGCCCAGAGTGCCCAGAGTCTCACTGCTAGTAAACTGGATGGCCTAATTTGAATTCTAGTTCTTCAACTCCAGGGATGGGACTCCTAATCACCTCATAATATTCCCGCTTAGATCACTGTTTGCTTTTTATTTGTTTTGCCTTACCATCAGTATTATGTTCCCACCCACCCCATCTTGTTTACAGATGTGTATATTTCAGCTACATTGTGTCAAACAGACTTGTAAAAACCTAGGCAGTGTTTGCAGTATCTTACGCTTTGGGAAATAAGTTCTGAGTTGTAAAAGAACCTATAAATGACCTCTTTGGAAACAAAATTGAGAGGATATTTGAATTTGAGAAAGTGGATTTTGAGGGTTGCCTTTATCTTTTCTTTGGAGAATAAACACTCAGCTCTATAATTACATACTCTAGGATATATTCAGCTGTGGTTTTTTAATGGCATAAAGCCTTTAAACAAAAACGGTTTGGTTCTAAAATCAAACACAGAAATAAGGATGGAAATGGCTTGCTGGAGAATTTTTTACCAAAGTGTAAATGTTTCAACTATAAACTTACCTTATGAGAAAAGCATTATTCCTGGATTGGAATTCATGTCAAAATTTGTTGAGAAGACCGACATGGGGGTTGAAGGAGTATCCAGAAGACCGATAGGCTAGGTTCATAATTTGGAAGAGCTAAAAGATTTGCCTCCCTGTGATTAGATTAAGCTATATTTCAGGTCCTTATTGCAGGGTATTTTTACCTTGATATAATCAATCAGTATTTATTGGGAATCTAATATGTATTCAGCACTACTAGGAATGATAGGAGATAGAGTAGAAGTAATAGACATAATTTTCCCCACTGTGACACCCATGATGGATGACATTCATATAAAAGACAGACTCCTAGGGGCAGTGGCATAGATAAGATCGTTTGTTTAACGGAGCATATTGGAATTCAAACAAGTTGCAGAGACAGTATCAAAAGGGAATCTTGGATCCATGCATATCATTCACTCACAGACTTTGGAGCCTTTTTTTTTTATTAGTTAATAAATTACTTGTTGCATGCTCTAATCTACCGTGTCTCACCAGTTTGTTGCAAAGAGACAGTTGAAAACTGTTTTGGAGCTTATGACAATAGGGAACACAGGGCTTGCAGGCATAAAAAAAGTGAATAATTCAGGATAGTATAAGATATATTGAAATGTTGATGTATGCACTATGACTGCCCCGCCAGGGCTTTTATAACCAAGGCAGTCTCTGTGCAGAAAATGGCTGCCGCAAAATGGAGCATATCAGTCCAGGTTCTAAGTGTAGGCAAGAGAGATAAAATCTGGTTGCTTTTTAAGCAGAAAAGGAATTTATTAAAAAGATATTGGGGCACATGCATACACTTCAACCCCCCAGTTTCATTTCTAGATATATACCCAACAGACGCACATACACATGGGTTCGCCAATGTGTCCATTTGTAATAGAACCAAACTGGAAGCTATCCAAATGCTCGTCAACAGTAGCATAGATGAGTAATGGAGTAGTCACCCAGTGATTAAAAGTTATACATACACAGTGAGAATGGACAAACTGTAGTTAACACAACAATCAAAGTGAATCTCACAAACATAACATTGCATGCAAAAAGAGAGTATAGTAAGTAATTCCATTTATATCAAGTGGAAAATGTGGCAAAACTAACCTATCTTGTTAGAAGTCAAGATAATGGATACCCTTGGGAGGGAAATGGTAACTGGACGGGGGAGCCAGGGATACTTCAGGAGTACTTGGAATGTTCTGTTTCTTGTCACAAGTGGGTTCAGTTTGTGAAAAATCTTTGAGCTGTATATTTAATGTTATGTATACTTTTCCCTTCCATATGTTATGCTCTGCGTTTTTCCGTATGCATGTTGCACATCAATAAAATGGCCCTTTAGAATATATGCTTATTAGATAGTGCAGAATTACTAGAGCTCCTGGCTCTGTATCCCAAAGTCTGGTTTAGTATCCCAAATCATGTTCCTGAGCTGCATTTCCACTGCCAAGCATTGAACTGCAGCCCGCACCACTGGCCACCGCCACTACCAACTCTGCTTGCTTGGTTCCCTGGGAGCTTGATCCTGCTCTAGCTCCTTCCACCTGAGGGTAATAGTTCCATTCCTGGCTCTATTTCCCAGCTCTCCTATTCAAATTATGGTGTGGATGCCTTTGTTAGGTGGAGCCTAGCACAAGATCCCATCCTTGCTGCAAGGGAGGCTGGGAAAGCAAATATCTGACATTTTTAGCTTTGAAACTAGGCCACGATATCTGCCAGAAATTGTTTGTTTGTTTGTTTGTTTTTAAAAAAAAAGCAGCAGAGGGGGTGTTTCAGAGGAAATCCTTCCTGTGCTAAACATTTAGGTCAGTAGAAGAAAGTAAATTTCAAATGTTAGGTATGAAGTCTAGGGATAGAGGTTGACTATAACATGGCATTTGGGTCCAGTAGAACAAGTTTAACCAGATCAAAGGGTGTGTTCTAGGAAAATGGTTTGAGAAAAGTTGAAGGAATAGGGTGGGAAAAATTAAGGATTCCTTTGAAAGCCAGGCAGGATTCAAATTTAATATGAGAATTTGGGGGCCAGTAAACGTTTGTGAACAAGAAAGTGTCGGAGAGGAAGAAGTATTCAGGGGCCATTCAACTGGCAGCACTTCTAGAAGCAGCAGCTAGGGGGTGTCCAGTACTAAATTTAGGGGCTGGGTGCTGGGTTGGGAGTAGAAATAAAAGACAAAGATTGAGGAAAAACATCAATAGACTTAATGAAGAAAATGAAGTAGAAAATAGCTCTCATACTTTTGAGCCTAGTGACTGTGTGTGATGCTGCCTTTTGTTCAGAGCTGGAGAGGCTGAGAAGGGGGCCGGTTTGGAGGAAGTAAAAGCATTCATTTTAGTTGCAGAATTGTTGAGTTTGGGGTAATAGGTCTTCGAGTAAAAGCAGTCCCTGTACAGTTGGAGATGGAGACCAGGCAGTGAAGCTCTGTGGAACCAATAGCTCTCACAGGGAGAGAGTGCAGGAAGGGGCTGGAACAAGTGTGCCAGAGCTCCCAAGGTGTTTCTGAGATCTCGGCTTTAATAGAGTGGTAAACTTAATGGAGTGGAAAATTTGGACCACAACCTGTACCTTCTGCTTCATAAAGCTTCGCCCCATTGATACTATTATTTTTTATGCTCTTTTCTTTCTATTACTGTAACTTCTTTGAAAAGTAAGTGATTAATCCATGTGAGGCTTCTTCTGGTTATTTCTAATAGTTTTGAATGCTTTGGATACAAGGAGAATATGTTAAAGCTAGGGACTGTAAACAAGACTGAGAGAGAGCATATACAAAGCAGGCCCCCAGTTAATTAGAGAAATTATGAGCTGGAGTTCTCAGCCCCGTTACTGGGTAGGCTTGGATCAGTGATGACAGCTCCATTCCACATTGTACTTAGAAAAGAATGGCTGTAAAACCTACTTAGGCCTCACAAGGCCTTTTCGAACTTCTAGGCACTGTCAGTAACCACAAGGTTTAGCATAATATTCAGGCTTGGCAAGGCCCAGACGCTGGAGCCTGATGACAGGCTTTTGTGTGCGGCTTGAAAGCTGTTGCTGAGGCACGCCTTCTTAGTATTCCTCTTAGGACTTTATTCTCTACGGTCTATAGCATGTCCCTGCTTGTAGATGATGCTGGATTGCTCAGATACCATTAAAGGATCTGCAGCTATCTTAACAGGAAACAGCTCGTTTCTTGGGTAATATGTGAGACAGTGAAGAAAATCCTTAGATGGTTGCCCATCATTTATGCTGCTGGAGTGTTTGCGAGCCCATAGTACCTTGAGTCCTCTGGCTCTCCAGTATGATAAGCTAATGCCTTCCCTGTGTTTAACCTAGTGTAGAAGATCTGAGTCAAGTTAGCAGCAAAGTCTCAAGGCTTCTCTGTCTCTCTATGGTTTCTCTGCGTAATAAAGAGCTATCTGGTTGAGAACGCAGGAAGTGGCTTTCCGTCCGTGTCAAAGGATCCATCAGCCTCTCTAATCAGTTGGATTTTAAAGTGAAACAAAGTGATGAACCAGTATTGCATTTATAAAAATTATCATGAACAGAACAACCTTTGCAACTCTGCTCCTTTGCTCACATGGTACACATACTTTGAAAGAGTTATCCCACCTCTTCACACCAGAACAAAGTAGTTTGCCAAGACACCTGTGTGTCATAGTTCATGTAGTCTGCAACAGGCTTTAAGGCAACAAGACCATAGAACATCAGATCTATCTTCATTTTTGCAGAGAAAGGTCCATGAGCTGGTTTGAGAGAAACAGGAGTTTAACAAAACCCCTTCCCAGCTTCTCCTTACCTTACTTACCTTAAAGGACAAAAATCTGAACAGGCAAACTATAACTGCCTACAACAAAACTAGTGAGGCACAGATGAATGTGGAAATTACTATTAGGAGGCAAAAGGGTAGTGTCACCAGTCTGGGCCATTACCTAAGGTTGAGTAACCATTCTTTTGGGAAGAAGTAATGCTAACTTTTTCAATAGCATTCCACTAAAAAAACAAAAACAAAAACAGAATAATCACCAAGGTACCACATCTGTTAAAAATACTGTGTTTCATTTTAGAGCTGGTTGAACTTCAGTGGTGGATAGAGCTTGTTTTATATGTTTTTGTAGTACAATTTTAAAATCTTATTCTTTTTAATCTAGGAGCTGTGTCATCTTATGCATTAGAACTTAATTTGACCAACTCAGAAAAAGCTACGTGCCTTTATGCGAAATGGCAGATGAATTTCACAATACGCTATGAGACTACAAGCAAAAATTATGTAAGTATTTTTACTTTTCTTTGAGTTTTACAGCAGGAATTTAATTCTCCTCTTTTTCTCCTTTACATACATTTAGGTAAGTAAGATTTCATATGTTAACTGACTTCACACAAATTCTGTGGGGTTTTTAAAAACATGGATACTTGAACAGATTCTGATTAGTGTTGGAAAGAATATTTTAATTCATTGGTTCTTTGAAGTGTTTTTTGCAGTTGCTTCAGGGCAAATGATCTGAAGACTCTATGGTGTTCTAACTACTTCTGTAATATTTTTAACATGTACTAACATCAAAGCTTGTCCCCTTTTTAGTAGCGTGCTATTAAAAATCTCCCTCTTTGGTAGTACTTCTCAATCCCTTTGCCTTTTTATTTACTTTTAGTTAAGGTCTTGCTTGCTTACAACCTGATTTTTTAAAAAATCAACTTAACAGTTCAGGCCAGTTTTCCTTTTCCTTTTACACGTAGTACATTTAATTGTCCAGGGGACTGGTATGTAGCTGAGGAATCTGAGGCTGGTTTACGCAAGAAACCAGACAAAGGGCAGCCTAGCCGTGGGGGGTGTGTGATGTAAACTGAAGTGGCACATCCTGCCAAAGTGCGTGGTGCTTATTACTTCCTTTGTGTTCCTTACCCCCAAACTTCTTTTCATCTCCATCTCTTTTGTGTATGTGTGTGTGTATTTAATTATTTATTTATATTACTATTAAATTCATTGGGGTAACATTGGTTAATAACATAATTTTCAGGCATACAAAATTGTAATACAACATCTGTCTATTGTATTGTGTGCTCACCACCCAAGGTGTCGTTTCCTTCCATTACCATATATTTGACCCCCTTTACCCACTTTGCTCTCCTCCACACTGTTTGCCCTCTGATAACCACCATTCTGTTCTCTGTGTCTGTGAGCTTGGTTTTGTTTATTACTTTTAAATGTTCCATATATGAGTGAAATCTTATGATTTTTGTCCTTTTCCATCTGACTTATTTCACTTAGCATAATACTCTCAAGATTCATCCATGTTGTCGCAAATGACAATATTTCCTCTGTTTTATGGCTGAGTTGTATTTCATTGTATGTGTATACCACATCTTCTTTATCCAGTCATCCACAAATCAAACTTCTTTTTCTTTTAGAAAACTGTAACCATTTCAGACCTTGGCAATGCAACATACAATGGAAGCATCTGTGGGGATGACCAGAATGGTCCAAAAATTGAGGTGCAATTTGGATCTGGTTTCTCCTGGACTGTGAATTTCACAAAGCAGATGTCTACTTACTCAATTGAAAACATTTCATTTTCCTATGACACGAAAGATAGCACAACATTTCCTGATGCTAAAGTGAAAGGTAACCTTAATAATTGGATTTGTGTTATGCTTTCTTGCTGTTTTGTAGTAAAAAATGTGAATAACTTAAAAATCACCCTTATGCATGTCTGTCTTCCTAACTAGAATGGAGACTTTATGTTTTTGTATCCTCTTCACTGACATGTACAGCACAGTGTTCAACACAGCAACGATATTTGCTGCACTTCGTACCACGTAGTACACTAAGTGTATTACCAGCAGTATCTCATTTAATCCTTCCAGTAAATCTGAGAAGTAGATATTATCTGAACTTTAGAGGTAAAAAAAAAAATGAGGCTTGATGAGGTTAAATGACTTTCCCAAAGGTCACACAAGCTGTTAAGTGGGTGAGCTGGTGTTTGAACCCAAGTGTTGAGCTACAGAGTTCACGCACTTAACTATTAGGATTTATTTCATTCTATACTGAGCACTCAACAATGTTGCATCAATGAGCAAATCCTTTACTAATAACTGTTAAATGTGTACAAGTTCAGTAACGAAACCAGCAGAAATGCTTCATCCTCGAATCTTTTTACCATTTAGATAGGATTTTGACTGAAAAGTAAATGACGATTAATTAAATGTAAAATGAGTAGAGTCAACATTTGCTGCTATTTTGAGATTATTTCAGGTCAAAAGGAACTTGGGAAAAGCATTGGCAATTAGGTCACTCTTATAACTACTAGAACTGAAACGTGTATTAAAATATTTTGAAGGCATGGATAGTGGAGATTTCCATTGTGTTAGGGATATAATTCTCTCCATTCCCCCCCCTCTGTTGAGATTGCAGTTAACGTGTTTTGTAGTACCTTAGCATTTCTCACCGATAGTATTTCATTCTGACCCCAGAAACAGGGACACATGCTTCGGTTGCCTAGACCTGGGGATAAATGGCTCATTTGGATATATGGATATCAAAAGATCATATTGTAAAGACCCAGAAGTGAATATGCTTATGTAAAACAGGAGGTATCACAGACTGTGAGACTTGGAAGTCAAATCCTAGTTTTTTTTTACTAACCTATTAGTTTGAGAAGATAACTACAGCAAGTTTGTTATAGGATATCTATATATTTAGCTTTGTGCCCTACATTGTCCTTCGGAACCAGTACAAGATTTGCTCTTCCTGTTCAAGGAGCTTAAAAGCTAGTTGGAGAGACAAAGTGAAGTTGTTTTTTCAAGTGATACGGAAAAATTGGAAAGCATTGAGATCCATGTGAATTTGTTGTTGCTTGTGCTTGGGGGGTGGAGGGTTCATAAATCTTTTCTGACAATGTGAGAGAAACTCTAGACTCTCTCAAAGTACAGAGTGAATTTTGCATTTGATACATAGTCTTAAGACCATCTGTGCACTAGCCTGTGGTTAAGAGACCAGATTTAAAGTATTCTCACAGGGGGCCCTGATTAAGAAAGGGCATAGAGGCCCTGGCTGGGTAGCTCAGTTGATTAGAGCATCGTCCCAATATGCTGAGGTTGTGGGTTTGATCTCCAGTCAGGGCCCATACAAGGATCAACCAGTGAATGCATCAGTAAGTGGAACAACAAATCGATGTTTCTTTCTCTCTCAGATAACAACATTTTTTTTAAAGACCTTAGAGAAAGGAGAGGTTGTTGTGTGTTGGAGAAGTGAAAGAAAAAGTAGGACCTGAACTGAAACTCTGGTAATGTAGAATTTGAGTAAGCGGAGAACTTTGAGCAGAGTATTTCCAGCAGGGGGAGGCATAGTATGTACAGTATTAATTGGAGAGCCCCCTGATTAAGATAGAGGCTGTGTGTGTGTAGCAGGAACAAAAGCAAGTTGAAACAAAATCAAGTTGGCTAGACGGCAGTGGGTCTAAGTTATAGGGGGCCTTGAAAGCCAAGGAAAGGCATTTAGCTTGGTGGGGTAGGCATTGGGGAACCATTTCAGGTTTTTAAACAGGAATGATAAAACAAAAGCAGAGACTACGATTTATAAAGAATGTTCTGCGGGACTGATTTGGAAGTGAGGACACTGCAGGCAGAGAAGCCTTCTTAAGAGACTGTGACAATAATTAAGGTGTGATGTGATGAGTGCCCGGACCAAGGGGGGAGCAGGAAAAGCAGGTGGGGTTTTAATCTGACAGATTTGATGGAAGAACTTTGGACTTGAAAATGTTAACACCTATCTCTTCCACCTTTTATTTTAACCAAGGGAGGATGCAAATATTTTTTCAGTCCTCACACGACGATAGGTTTATTGATTTCAGAGAGAGGGGAGGGGAGAGAGAGAAACATCAAATGGTTGCCTCCTGTATGTGTCCCGGCCTGGCATCAAACCCCGCAACCTAGGCATGAGCAACTCAGCCAGAGCAGGGAGGGTGCTACTTTTTTCTACTCCAAGCGCCTGTATAATATTTGAAACCATTTGGGATTTAAAAGGGCTTCCTTAAATGGACTGTTGATGGTTTTTGAAATAACTTAGCGTTTTCTTTTTAGGCATCTGATAATTGAAGTGATTTGGAACTCCTGTTTTCTTTAATTTTTTTTCATAATTAAAATACAGAAAAGTACAGAGAATAATATAACAGGTCCTCGTGCACCTGCTACTCAGAGTTAGTAAATGCCATTGCTTTTCATATTTGCCCCGTCTCTTTAATTAAAGAAATAAAATCTTACAGACACTTGAGATTTCCGTTCCATTTTCTTCCCTGCCTGCTGAGAGGTAACCACTCTCGAGAATTTGGGGTCTAGCCCTCCTATCTGTGTGTTTACTTGACTAATGTATATGTTAACATATATGTTCATAAACAATACATAGTTTAAAAAATGATGATTTTATAGTGTAACTCCAATATTTCTACAGCTTGTTCTTTCACTCTTTTGTTTTTGAGGTCTGTGTACATACAGGGAGTTCATGAATCTATTCACTTACATTAGTGGCAAAAACAGTTTTGGAGAAAAATGTTCTAGTTCGTTGATTAAACTTTTTTTTCCTTTGGCCATTAGGGGGTGACAAGGCAGCAATAATTGGCTGCCTTGCTACATGATGGAGAGGCATGGAAGGCAGCCTATATTATGGACCTTGAATAGTACCTTCCTCCCGTGTTGCTTCTCAAAAGGAAACTAAGCCATTTTGGTGGAAAAGTGTGATCACGGCTTTTGAAGTTTTACTGTAGAAATTATAATAAATACTCTACAGAATGGCTGTAACTTACTGCTTTCACATTCTGAAGATTTCATGAAATGGAATAACCTTTAAATTCTATCCAAGAAGAGGTTCCAAAAGCTCATGTAGTCACTGTAATTTACTTCGGGATAGTAGCACAAAAAGAAGGATTTACTATAAAATCCTTGATTGATGCATCTCTCTTCCTTGCTTTGTCACTGTCCTGTTCATGCTACCTCAGATATGTGTTTTCAGTTTGGCCTCTTCACTCGCTTCCTGTTGCCCCTCCTTACTTTAGATTTTAACCATGTCATCAGCCTTCTAACTGGTTTCCCTCTTAAATTACATTCCTTAACATTTCCCTCCCCTTTCTGTGCTCTACAATTTTGCTGTCTCCCTTAGAATACATTATACACATACTGTGTATATCCAGCTTTGAAAACTGAAGCTGATCTTCCACTGATAACAAAATAAAGCCCAGCTAACCTGTCCTTAGATCAGTTAAGGTGTTTCAGAGTGTGACCACCTGCAGCTTGTCTTCCCTTCCTAACCCCCATTGCGTCCTTGCTTGTGTGCCCTGTATTTCAGCCTATGCCCTTTGTCACTTCAGGGATAGGGTGGGGGAGGGAGGCAAACAGAAGAGAAGAAAGTCTAATATATATTTATGTTATCACTGTTTTCCTTCCTTCTTGAAAACAGCTATTGTTAATTTTTTTTCAGACACCATTACTGTTTATGAACTTGTGGCATTCAGAATTCCATTGGATGACATCTTTAGATGCAATAGTATACTGACTTTAGAAACGAATGATGTTCACCAGCACTTTTGGGATGTTCATGTACAAGCTTTTGTCCAAAATGGCACAGTGAGCACAAAAGGTGACTACCTAAATTCCGTATTTCTATACTTGGGTCCTATTTAAGATGAGTATATCAGGTAGCTTTAGTTGAAGTCGTTACCTGCAAGCATGCATATTCTAAGATTTATTCGTAGTTTACACTAGACTGTAAAAGGTTTATAAATAGCAGTTCTTATTCTTGTGGAACTTGTTATGTTAAGTGTATAATGTACCTGTTCTGGCATGGTATTTTAAAATGCTCTACCCAGACATAGGGTTTTCAGCTGATCCAACCTACTTTGTTTAAACAAATCCTCAAATAGTATTGTATTTGATCCTTAGCTCTTTCACTTTTGATGATCAAGATAAAAGCATAGAAATTAGATTTCTGTGTTCTAACCTTGAATTTTATACATTGGTTTTATAACTTGCATATGACTTTATGGAAATGTAATAATTTCTCACTCACCAGTTCTAGGAAACTATCAACACTTCCTAAAAAGAGGTTCGAAATGCCTATGATTTGCTGTAGGGGTACCACAAATAAAAGGTTTATTTATATTTAAATCCTTCAATGATTTCTAAACTTTCCTCTGGTAAACACTATCTTTCCTTATAGTGGTGGTATGTGGAAGAGAAAAGGGCATGCCTAGGTTGGAACAAAATGTTTTCAAACTTAAATCTCTTATATTCATATAAGAGGCAGGTGAAGTTCTTTGGGAATAAAGGGACTTAAGGGTCTGAAAAGATGGATGTGCAGCCAGCCATGTGTGAGTAAAATATGAAGCATTTGGATGTGCCTGTCTCCTGTGTCATAACTCTAAGAGATTGTCTGCATATGAAGCAGCAGTTTGAGGACTCTGCTTCTTTTAGTTAAAAATACACTATCAGGTCTTTCCCTTCCCTTCTTTTGGACTTCTATTGTGAGAAATAGTTTGCTTTTCCCAGGCCTTAGGAGTTAAGAAAAAGTTTACTTTAGTTTATTCTGTCCTTTCTTTGTTTGTAGAGTTTCTGTGTGATAAAGATAAAACTTCAACCACTGTGGTGCCCATTGTTACCACCACTTTGCCATCTCCTACTACAACACCTACTCCAAAGGAAAAACCAAAGATTGGAAACTATTCGGTTTCTAATGGTAACAATACTTGTCTTCTGGCTACCATGGGGCTACAGTTGAACATGACTCAAGATAAGGTATAGTTGTCTATATCACTCACGATTAAAGTATGGTTGTTTATCTTCATGGATACATTCTACTTGAATCTCCTTTAAAATAGTATATTCTACATTCAGCTTAAGAGTAGTGTTAATAGAATGATGGCATTTTAAATGGATATTTGATGTTTACTGAGTTTTGATGAGTTTGGAGTTACTTGAATCATGAAGGTTATTGTAGGTTGATGTATGGGAACAGTGCTGCTAGCTATCTGTTTCTTCGGCACTTTGATGACTTGAATCATACAGATACGCTCAAGTACAGCATGGCACTTCTAGCTGCAATGTTCCACTGAGGCTACAGAGGGCGTGCTAACGAACAAATCCCATTTCCAGAAAGAAAAAAGAAACCAACAGAAATGAGAAGAAAAGAAGGATGGGGGTAGTGGGGAAAGGAAGGGGAAGGTTCAAATCAGGGAACACGAATGAAAGGACACAGGGACGGAGCCAAGGTGGGGAGGGATTGAGGGTGGGACGTCGAGGTGGGTGGGGCAGGGGAAAGTGGTGGCAGGAAAATGGGGACAAATGTATTTGAACAATAAAAATAAATAATAACTTAAAAAAAAAGAAAAAAGAAAACCAAATCCAAATCCTATTTTCAGAGTCCCATGACTGAAACAAGCCAGAGAAATGGCTCTTATGCTCCATAAGTGTATTTTCATTTGGCTTATTACTAAGGAAACGTCCCTCTTTCTTTTGTTTTTTTTTTAAGTTGTCTGACTCATAGCTTGAGGGCCTGTGCCAACTTTGTTTGAAAGTAAGACACCATAAACCCTAAGTATCAAGGGAAAAGGAGTTTTTTTGTTCTCCACTAAAGTTGAGTGTAAGGTTTTGTTGTTGACATTTTTGGTTAATCGGTACCCTCCCCCCCTTGTTCCCCTAAAGGTTACTTCGATTATTAACATCAACCCCAATACAACGGACTCCACTGGCAGCTGCCATTCTCAAACTGCTCTACTTAGACTGAACAGCAGCAACATTAAGTATCTTGACTTTGTCTTTGCTGTGGTGAGTAATAGATTTTTCTAAAATTAGGTTCATTCTCTTAGAAACACATTTGAAAGTATAAATGGGGGGGAGAGAGAGAGAATATGTGTCTGTGTGAGGGGGGATATTTAGCTCTATTTTCCATTTCAACACTATGCAATTATAGAGCAGTCCATTGATGTCTGTTATTCCCTCAGGGTCACCTTGCGGTGGTCTGTGGGCTGGGCTCTTATATTAATGTTCACCAGTTGTGGCTATTCTGCTGTTATATAGACCTTAGGGTAGGCGCAAGAATTAACCCACATCAAAAAAACTTTCTAATCTCTCCATATATATAAAGTGTATATGGAGAGATAGGAAGTATATTTAATACATATATTAAATATAAAAATATAAAGTAATATCTGTAATATAATGTTTTTTTCTATTAGAAAACTCATGTTTGTCTACTGTAATATTTTAGGCTTTTTGGGGACTATACTGTTTGTAATAGTATCAATAATAATAGCTGACATTTATTGAATATTTGGTATGTACAAGGCTCTGTATAAGTGCTTTGCGTGCATTAATTCATTCAATCAGGACAATTTATAATGGCAGCATGCAGGTTTTTGTTGTTCATGCTTGTATCAAGGGCTCACTCTTAAACAGAAAGTTCCAGGTTAAGCACACATTCTCTACTTCCTGCCAGCATAAATGAATCATTGGGAACCTTTATTTTCACCTTCTCAGGAGCAATTAGTATCCCCACATTTTTGGAGGGGAAGTGTGTGTGTACATGCATACATAGGCACACACATATTATAGCAAATGGGAATGGAAAGGGGGATAGATATTGGTGATTGAAAATGTTGAACCACCAACAGCTCTCAAACCAAGTTATTGTGTAAGTGGGTAGAAAACAGTTTAGCTTTCAGATGACGTAATGTATCTAAGGGATGGGGAAATAGTCTGAATCTCTGATATAGAAAGTTAGGTTTGTTGTTTCATATCTGAAGTTGGTTTCCTGAGTCTAAAGTCTTTTTTTCTCCATGGACTATATGCCGAGAATTGAGGACTATATTAGACAATTACATTTTAGAAAGGTTTACAAAAATCTTCCTTTTTCTAACATTCAAATCATTCTTCTATTATAGTACATATATAACCAGTGAATTAGTATTAAAACCATCTAGTTACACTTGTCCTTTTCAATATGGCAAAAGCAGGCCTTCGCAGACACACTTTTTAAAAGTTATTGCATGGTGATTATATTATAGTCAGTAAGAATGAGAAAAGTAATATTTTAGGTTCATTCCCTTTTGAGTGATTGAGTTTGATCTTTCTAGCTCTGGTAAGACACTAAAAGGACCATGGTTTCTTCTGACTGTCATGGGGAAATATTTGATAATTACAACATGTAATTTGCCCAGCAGACTGTTTTAAAATGTAATCCAAGATAAGTGATATTTTAACCACTTTGAAAATTCAGGAACACCTGTCAGTGGGGCCCATCTCACCTTCAACCCTGTCACGATAGGTGCTTCTTAAAGAGAATTTATTGAATTTGAGTGCGTTATGCTCAAGGTGCTGTGATGGGATACAAAGAAGGCCTGTGTTTTTGTTTTGTTTTGTTTTGTTTTTTAGAAGGCCTGTATCCTTACCACAGTTTGGTGGTAAGGATAGAAATGGACAGTCAATCACTGTGTGGGAGGCCTTAAATGCCATGCTAAGGCTTTTGAACTTGATTCTGTGTTCTGCAGAAGCTGCATACAAAGTGGGATGAGTGCTAGACCAGAGGAAAATACAAGGGCCTCTGGGAGTATACAGGAGAGGGAGTGGTTAATTCTGGGCGGAGGTGGGTCAGGAAGGTTTAATGGAAGGGATGACATTTGAGCCGGACCTTCAAGGATGGGCCAGATTTGTACAATCGGGGAATAAGTGCAAAAGTACAGGTTATCCATGGATAAAAGAACACAATCAAGACCAGCCAGGAAAACGAGGCAGGTAACAAGTTTAGTGAAAGATAAATATGGAAGAGTAGTTGGGACAAATTGTGGAGAGCCCTGAATGCTGAGCCAAGACATAGCCTAAGCAGAGGGGAGATGTGATAAGGTGGTCAAGTATTCCTTTATGCTTCTTTCTGAAATTTCTCTGAATATGTCCTCTTGTGTCCATTACCCCCCTGCCTTTGCCCCAATTCCAGCCTGCATTACCTCTTACCTGGACTGTTCGACCTCCTTAACAAGTCCCTCCTCTTCCTCCCCTCCCTCAATATTCTGTAACAGTTAATCTTCTTGAAGCACAGCCCTTCCTGACAGAAACCTTCAGTGGTTCTGTTTTGCCAGCAAAGTACCACCTAAATTCCCTGGGAGGGTAGTTCTAGCCCCCTGCCCCACCCTGCCACCATGCAATGCCACCTGCATATCCAACTTTGTTTTCTTTATTCCCTCTTCATGAATCTCAAGCTTCCCTCACCCGGTTGTAGCCAGACTTCCTCGGTTCAAATCCTAGCTCACTGACTACTAACCATATAGCTTCTGGGAAAGTTACTAAACAACTTCTCACTTTGATTACCACATCTCGAAATGAGGTGTTGTAATTATTCAATGAAGCTTCATTTGTAAAGTTTCCAGAACAGTGCTTGGCATTTAGTAAATCCTCAGATGCTAGCATACTTGTGATTATGCTTATCTTCTACCTTTATTCATGTTGTTACCTTCTTGAATACCCTTTTCTGCTTGTTTCCTGATTGAATTCTACCCAATTCAAATGGCCCATCCCTAAGCTTGCATTACTTTTCTCCCCTAGTTTGAAGTGCTTTCACTCCATTTAATTTTTATAACTTATCACTCTCTTTTTGCAACGTGGTTATTTATTTACTGTGTGTGTGTGTGTGTGTGTGTGTGTGTGTGTGTGTGTGTATTTACAATATATGCATTTATTTAAAGTTAGGTCTGTTAATTTTTTTTTATATCTGAACATGGTTTATTGAGTCTAAAACCTTTTGTTCTCTATGGAGAATCTATGCTGAGTAATTGAGGGTTATAGCTAATTATATTTTGGAAAGGTTTACAAAAAAATCTTCCCTTTTTTAACATTCAAGTCATTTTTCTGCTATTATACATACATGACCAGTGAATTGATATTACATTTCAATACCCACTGGAACAATCCAAGACCCCCAGGGGATGTCTGAAACCACAGATAGTACCATTTTCATATACCTACATACTTACAATAAATTTAATTTATAAATTGGTCACAGTAAGAGATGAACAACAATAAAGAGTAAAATAGAACAATTAGACTAATATACTGTAATACAGGTTATCTGAATGTGGTCTCTCTCTCTCTCTATAAATACCTCGAGTTTTCCATTAAATATTTTTGTACCGTGGTTGACTGCACACAGGCAAAACCATGGAAAGCGAAACTACAGAACATGAAACTGGATAATGGGGAACTACTGTATTTATCTTCCCTGGCAGATTGCAAACATGGTGGCAGGATTTAAGTCTGGTTCATTTTGCTAGCTCCCTGGAGCACTTCAGTATCTTACTTTGTACATACTAAGCACTGACATAACTGGAATGGCTGATCAGATGAGGGCTTCAGAAAAATAATAGCGAAGGAAAGACCGAACTCGGGAGGCTGGAAGGCCAAGAGCTCTAGTGAAGAGGCTATTGTGAGCCAGGCTAGAGGTGGTGAGGGCTTAGCAAGTGACAGGAGGAATAAAATGGAGGAAATGAACTGTCGAGTGTCTGAGAACGATACTACCACACCTCTGGATCAAAAATTGGAAACGAAATGCAGAGGGAAGGGATCCCTGTCACATTTTAAGGTCTCTTAATTACAATTTATTCTACTGGCCAGGTCTAATCCATAGTTTTATCTTTTGGGTAATAGTATTAGATTGTTTTACTTCTATAGATAGTAATTTTACCTGTAGAAAGTTGTGATGTGTTGATTAACTGCAGACTTTTTTAAACAGAAAAATGAAAACCGATTCTATCTGAAGGAAGTGAATGTCAGCATGTATTTGGCTAATGGATCTGGTAAGCAAAGTATTGGCCTTGGAGAAAAGAGTGTGGGTTACACTGAAGGAATAGAAACCATAATTGTCTTGTTACCAAATAGTGCCTTTTTTAATGGGACAGAAGATTTCATGTGAATATCATACCTTGACCACAACTGAAAATCAGTAACTTAAAACTATAGTAGTCTATCTTTTGCAGTATCCTGTATTTTCAAACCATGGTAGATAATAGTTTAAGGGTATGACTGATTTTTAGACTATAGAAACATCTGTAGAAAGACAGATGATGACTGCAATTAATTAGGGTGATGCCATTGTAAGGTATAGAAATTGAATCAGTATGTTGTACACGTGAAACTAATATAACTAATATTATATACCAAGGATACTTAAATTTTAAAAAAAGAAAAAGAAGGAAAGATAGGGAACCTAGTGATTGGAAGAATTACTTTTTGTGGGTAGACCTTGTAACCCAAGCTCTTATACTTCACTGAAATACCCTGAGGACTGTCCCACTTTTTATGTTGATAGGATAAAAAGTTACTAACATATTTTTTTTCCTTTAAAGCTTTCAGCATTGCAAATAACAACCTTAGCTACTGGGACGCCCCCTTGGGAAGTTCTTACATGTGCCAGAAAGAGCAGACGGTTTCAGTGTCTGAAGCACTTCAGATAAACACCTTCAATCTAAGGGTTCAGCCTTTCAATGTAATAAAAGGAAAGTATTCTACAGGTAAGAATCAAGCAAGTTTTATTAATAATTGATGGCCTTATGTTGACTTTCCTTTGAGTCGTAGAAACAAGCATTGATGTAGAGTAATATGAATTCACCTGTGGACTCCTCTATAGAGTTCTCAGAGCCTTGGGCAAGTTGTGTCACTCTATATTTGGCCCATCGCTTTGCTTAAAGTAGATTTTTGGGGGATCTGAAAACCATTTGCAACAAAGTTCTTAGGAGCTAAAAACTGAGAGAAGCTTTAGGTGAGCTTTACTTAAGGCGGCAGTGCTCCCTACAGTTTTAGTTTGTGGGAAGGATGGCACTTGGAAGCAGCAGCTTTAGGCATCTTGCATCTGCCTTGGATAGCCCGTGTGGATGACCTTGGGGCCATCTTCTAGCTAGAAACATTTTCACGCTCGAATAATAGCAGTTTGGTTGTATTTTGCTGAGACAAAAGGTTGTGGTACCAAAGCCTCAAATATCATAAACTATGGTTTGGCCAGCCAGAATGAGCTGGAGAGTTTTAAAAGAGTGTGCCAGTGTGAATGAGCCTTTTTGAAGATCTACTCAGTCCTAATTGTGGTGTTTCTCAGATTTAAAAAAAAAAGATTTTAGCTATTTATTTTTAGAGAGGGAGAAAGAGAGGAAGAGAAACATCAATGTGTGGTTGCATTTCATGCATCCCCTGCTGGGGACCTGGCCTGCAACCCTGGCATGTGTCCTACACTGGGAATCGAACCGGCAACCCTTTGGTTAGCAGGCCAGCACTCAGTCCACTGAGCCACACCAGCCAGGGCTGTTTCTCAGATTTTTAATGAAACCTTTGTGAAGGGCTCATTACAGTGTGTTTATACAAATATTAAAGATGTATTTGGCACTGCAACATTAAAATTTGCATGAAAGAAAAAAGTATATAAAATTCCTTAATTGACCTGTCCTTTTAAACCATTTACTTACAGGTAGGGTTTTGTGGATTGCAGCTCTGCTGAACATAGCTATTCCAGTCATCCACATCCACAGAATTTTTAACAATTAATTCTGTGGTTTAGAAGGAAATGTACAAGTCGTGTTTAAAAGTAAATATGCTTTGAGCCATTCAGCTACTTTGGCAGTAGTGCTGAATACCTAGCCTGACTTGGTTAGGTCAAAATAAAGTGGATTCTTCAACTTACCATTCTTGTGACGTGAGAGGCTGATCACACTTAAAAACTTTTTTTAAAAACTCATTTTCCCTTTTGTCTGGTTTTCTTTTTTACTTCAATTATTTTGATCCTTTAATATTTTCTTCTTGAGTCTTTATCTAGCTCCTCTACATTATTACCTTAATTTTAGGTTCAGATTTGTGGTTAGAATATAAAATTATTTGCAGTGTAATATCAGCTCAAGCCTGTATAGCTAGTCAGCTGTAATTAGAAATGAGCTCTGTTCTTTCTGTAATTTGAAACTTTGGTTTTTATATATATAGGATTTAAAATGTCACCCAAATATACAACATTTAATACAGGGACAGGCAAAAATAGGTTTATAGTTGTGAATACATGAAACACAGAATTTAGTAATTTGTATTTTTTCCATATGAACAACTGTAAACCTAATTTGCTAACTCCTGTATTGATAATGAATGCATCATCGATTTATGGGGTTAGGATCTTGACTGTGGGTATCTTTAAAAACAATGCATTGGTAATACTTGAGTATATAGGAGGAGGAAACAGACTTGCAGTGAAAGACTTGAAAGAGTGTCAATCGGAGGTTACTGGATCACACTATTGCCTGGAAATAGAAAAAATTGCCCGTGTGGATGACCAGTCCTGACCAGATTGATAAATGTTATAAACATAGTAAGAGGTCCCAGTTTCTTGACTTTTGCAGCCACTAAAATCATGTACTCTATGTCAGGGATCTGTGTACTTTTCTGTAAAGAAGCAGACAGTAAGTGTTTTGGATTTGAAGGCCCTATGGTCTCTGTTACAACTACTCAATTATGCGATTGTAGCACGAAAACAGCCATCAATAATAAACAAATGAATGTGGCTGTGTTCCAATAAAACTTTATTTGTGACTACTGAAATTTGGATTTCATATAATTCTCATTTCTCAAAATACTCTTCTTTTGTTTCTTTTCAACCATTTCTAAATGTTTAAAAGCCATTTTTAGCTCTTGGGCCATTTTTGGCTCCTGGGCTATAGTTGTTGATCTCTGTTCTAGAGGATTTCGGAACCAGCCTGGCCTTCCTAATCCTATGGTTAAACCTTCCTGGTCTGGTCGCAGTCTCCCAAAAGGCATTCACTCTACCACTAAGAGGTTCTTTTGACTATGTGAAATGGGCTAGATTAGCTCTCCTCACTTTTGATAAAGTAATAATCCTGTTTTGCAAAGGACTTTGAATGTAAATAAACAAGTGCAAACATATGTGTTTACTCATAGATATGAGTATATAGGTGTTCATATATATGTATACACATTACAAGAATAAAATGACAAATAAGTTTTAGGATTTTAATTCTAGAACAGTCTAATTTTCTGTAGCTTTATCTTTAAAATATACCGGTCTCAATTACTTAAAGTTGAACTTGTAAGAGCATTTCTGACTTTTGAATCAACATCTTTAATTTTTGGACATTTCTTTTTTGATTATACTCATTATTTATTACACACTTTCTCTCACCTACAGCCCAGGAGTGTTCGCTGGATGATGACACCATTCTAATACCAATTGTAGTTGGTGCTGGTCTTTCAGGCTTGATTATCGTTATAGTGATTGCTTACCTAATTGGCAGAAGAAAAAGTTATGCTGGATATCAGACTCTGTAACACTAATCCATATGTGATCTCCGTTCCAAAATAATAAAGCAAGTACAAGTTCCAACATGCAATACTATTCAGTTTAAGGTATATTTAGTTGTAGGTCTGATCTTAGAATCAGTGGTATGGGGGATTTTGTTCTTTAACAAATGCAAAGACATCAAAATTATAAGTTACAAATTGGTCACATGAATTTGGTTTCCCCAACCATGGGATTTAAATCTGCTATTTCTGCAGCAAAAGACATGTACAAAATCACCTGGATTATAGGTTCTATTTTATAGGGTTGAATTAGCATTTCAGTGTTTTTACTTCAGATAATCTGACTAGAAATACACAGTTTAGGAAAAACAGTTTTAAAAAAGGTTTTTTTGCTTGCATGTGGTTGAATTGAGACAATACATTCTACAGAGGATTTGTACTTGCTCCTTTTGCATTTTTTTTCTGTCATTTTGTTTGCAGGTTAACTTAGTTGCTTTGACATTGCTGCATATTTGACCTATGAGAGATATGCCAGTTTTGAACCGAGTTTAGTATTGTTTGTTCTTAGCAATGACTGCTTGCCTATGCTTACTGAATACATTTGTATTTAATGTAGCTGTAATGACAAAAGATAAAAAAACCTTTTGAAATTTTAGAATAGGTGTTAAGCTTATTGTTTAATCCTTTTTAAAAGAACTGGATATTGCAATCTTTCAAATTGCAAGATACAAGACTATTCCAGCTGGGCATTTCAATCCATTTTCTAGGTGCTTTAGAGATAATTGCGAGGCAGTGCCAATTTCAGGCATTAGTCCTTTGTACCCGTAAATAGGCCTCTGCCTGCAGCGCTACAGTTAATGTACACTTCTCTTCAGACTTCCAGTATCCTTCGTGGCAGTTGTATGTTTAATCCTTTCTTGTCTTTTCTTTTCCTTAAAGAAGAAATGCCAGTATGTCCTAGAATCTAGATAAAGAAGAGCACTTCCACTTACCCAAAGTAATTTGCACCTAACCCAGAAGTCTTGTTCTTCTCCATTAAAAAGTTATTCTTTGTTTCCAGCTTACATTGATTGCTACAACATTTGCTAATTTGGCTTTCCCATTTAAATGGTTCTGTGCTAATCAAAACTTACATTATCATTGTTCATTATGGTAGAATAATTAATAATTCATGTATTTGTGTTCAGTTTTGTCCCCTGGGGATATGCACCAATTGTCCATTTACCGTACACCACCTAATGTTTATAAGAGAAAGCAAAACATTTTAGCTTCATAGTTAACACATCAAGTATTTCTTGCTGTTTCTAGGTGGTATTTTTTTTATTGGAATGGCTGAGCAAATATTTAGAAATTGTTAATATACAGCCATATACCAAAGGTGCCTGAGTTTTTTTGGATGGGAGATTATGTATATCCCTATTCACTAGAAAACAAAATGTCTGGGTTCCACAATATTATTGATGTTGAATTAATCGAGCTGAAAACACACAAACACATAAGCAATTGCATGTTAGCATGTGTATGTCTCTAAGTATCTTTCGAGTTATACTGGAGTGCTAAATATCTTCTCCCACTTTAATTTGCTCTCTATTTAGAGTAGCCTGAAAATCTTACTGGCTCAGAATCAGATTCCTGATCAGCCCCTCTCCTAAAGCTACACTGAGCTGCATTGCCAGCTTAAGCACTTATTATGGACTAAATATAAATCTGATTTTTAAAAATTATTTTTTATTTAAATAGTATCTTAGTGTAAGATCATTAACCTTAGAAGAATGGATAATGCTTATAAGAATGTAGGCCTTAGGTATTTCTCATGAGTCAAAACAAAGCAGCTTTTTAAGAAAAAATTGGAAATAGAAGCACAAGTAGGTGGCAGTGGCTTAATGCTGTTAAGGTTTCTAAAAGTTTCTACATTTAATTATATACCTGATTCATATTAAAATACCTCTAATTAGCACTGTTTTCTAGATAATCTGATTTCATTGAATATTTTTTTTGTATTTTACATGGGCCAGTTTATATACGGTTATTTCCATTATTATTTCCTATAGCCACATGTTCTTTGCACCTTTTGTAGTTTCATTTGTTTTACTGGGTTTACACCTTGATGGTCTGACACTCTCAATGGTTCTGGGTGATTTTCATGTTTTATCATTTGTATAAAGAAACTGGTCCATGTAAGTACTTCCATGTTTTTTTCTCAAATGTTTAAGCCACTAGTTGATGTATGGTGTTTCTTTTTAGATATTTGCTTGTCCATTTGCTCAACATACTGCTTCTAAAATAAACAATAAAGATTCTTTTATTTCTTAAGGAAATTTGCTCACATTTTTTCCTGTTGGTTAAAGTCAAGATTTTGTATGCCACATAATGGCCATTTCTACCAAAAGGAAAAACTTTACAAATGCTTAGAAGTAGAACTAAACTATTTCTAAAATGGTCTGTTGTATTATTACTACCTGGAAGAGTGGTCACATACATGGGTCTCTACTGATGCTGGGCTGACTACAGAATAAGAATCACCTGGGAAGTTTGTTATAAAAATTCAAATTCTAGGCTCCATTCCTAGAGGATTTAATTTAGCAGGTCTAGGATGAGGTGTGTGTGTGCTTGGGTGTGTGTATGTGTGTGTTTATAAACTCCCCAGCTGAATCTCATATGTAGCCAGTTAGGGAATCGGTGATCAAGAATATTTATTTCATAGTAAAAACGTCAGTATTTTGTTGTCCACTTTTCTCAACTCCTGAGTCGAGTCTGATATTTAATATCTATACAAAGCAGCTGTACATCGCAGCCATGCAATCCAAGCTATTGATCTGAACCAAAACAGGATTGCATGCAATCTCTCAGATACCCTAAAATGCTTGAACCTTAGTACATTCTAAAGTATATACTTTATATACTTTATCCTATATCAAATACCCTAAAATACTTGAACCTTAGTATATGCACATAGCAGTATGGCCCATAACTTTCCCCTGGATTACCCAGTTAAGCCATATGACTGTAAGTTAATCATCACAGCTCCTACCTCCGCTTCTATCTACCACATGACTTTGGCCAAGCTGCTTAACTTCTGGGGTCTCTTAAAGCTCAGGGCTTTAAAATCCTGTTACTTTATTTCTTTTGAGTAGTAGTATTCCATTTCAGTGAAGATTTCACTATGTTTAGAAGGAATCTGATAAGAAGTCTCTTGTGTTGTATCAAGAACATTCTTTACATACAGTGTAAAATGCACCATGTTAAATTTCTTTTGTTGTTGTTTTTTTTAGGAGGAATTCTTATAAGACTCAGCTATTTTTAAGATTACAGCATTTCATCTCTGTTTAGGTAGATAATGTTAAACTGGCTTAGCCTCATCTCTCCCATTTCCCTATCTTTTACCCTGGTAGCTAACTTTCTGTATCAATAATTTCCACATTTTGTTTTTGAAAATAGTATAGACACGATATGGAATAGCTTCAAGTATCTTTTCAGATACTTTGCAGATATTGATATACTTCCGTTTGGTTATATATCTAAAAGGTATTTAATTAAAAAAAGATGTCACATAACAATGTGACACCTAACACTGATTTTTCCAAAGAGACATTTAACGGTTTTTTTAAAGGAGTTTTTGTTTTATATTTTGTTAAAATGTATATCTCAGCTTTCTAACTCACACTGAATATTATATTTGAAAGACTTCTGAGCAAACAGAAAATGGAAGACAACAGTATTTTTTTAATCTACAAGAAACTTGAAATTTCAATGGCTGTGAATTTTTTTATCTTTAAAAATCTTCACTGCTTCTGTGTCTATTGAACTCTTCCACAAATAGACTTTTCCTTTCCCCCCAAATATTTTCAATCTGGTCTCAAGTATATATAAGGCAAATAGATAAGATCAAAATGACTTATAAAGTGATATTTTCTTTTCTTCAGAATGTGATCCTATTAAAATTACTGTTTTACCAAAATATCTTTCCATTACTTAAAGAATCCTTAAAGGTTGAATGTACAGCATCATTAGTTATAAATTAATACTTCACATGCTAATTAGGAGCATTTTAAGTCAGTGACAGGATCAAGAAAGATCTTTGTATTAGTGGAATTGCTTTTTTGATCTACTCTAGGAATATTTGTCTTACATGAAAGTCTTATTAGCAGTATTTATGAAAGTTGTTTCAGTACTAGGTTAAATACCAATTTTGGAAGTGGGCTATGAATCCACTGCCAGAATTAGAAATTAATCTATTAATTAATTTTAGAAAAACCAAGTTACATTAAATCCAAGACATAATGCTGTATGATATATGTCACTTAATAGTTTATATGCTGGATAATATGGGCAATTGAAAGGGGAGGCTATTGGGGTGCTCTTAACAAACCCCATATATTCACAAGTCACATCTGGCAACCTCAGCTATCTGGATTTTTAACAGAACCGAGAAGCAGGTAAAAAAGATCATTGAGCTGGCAGCCATGGTTGATGTCATAAAGTCCATAAACTCCAGGACTGCATCTTGTTCCCAGTTATTGCCCTGGCGGCTAGCCTGGCACATTTCTTAAATGCAAGCACGATCAGAATTGCCTTGCAGCCTACTCATTCTTATTTTTGACCCAAATTCTAATAAGCTTAATTATCTGATTTATCCATCCCTGGTAGATTGCAAGCTAAGAGGAGAACTAGGGCAATTAGAGTCATGGAAATGGAAAAATAGTGAGAAGTGGTGATTCAACATCCTAGCCGCCTTTCCCTTTTTGCAAATGTATCTCCATCTTCACTATTCATTCCTTCCTCCTCTCCAGTCTCAGTAGGTTTTCTTTTCCTGGTCAGTGCTTCTGGAATCCCATTTCTTCTACCTCTTAGGAAACCTTGTACCACTCAGCATCTCCAACCTGTCAAATGCTAATGGCTCTTTCCCTCATCCTAGAAACATATTTAAGTCTCTTTCACCTTGAAGATATGCCTTCGTGACCTCATGTCTCCCTTATAATTACCTCCCTACTATCTTTTCTGATCTTCTGAACTTCTTGAAATGAGTATTGTATGTGCCCCATCCCAAGTTCTTGATCTCCTACCAGTCACTTCCCATTCACTCTTAAACCTGCAGCAGTTTGACTCATAGCCCCCACCATTAGTATTGCTAGATCCAATGGGCATTTCTCAGACTTCTCTAATACTTTACACCATTCTCCCACACTACTTGAAACTGTTTCTTTCATTGGCACTATCTTCCTACCTGCCTTTTCTACTTCTTTTTCCTGCTCCTTTATCCCTCAAATATTGGTGTTCCCAAGGTTTCTGCCTCTGGTCCTCTTTTTATTACTTGCCATCACTGAGAAATATCTGTCTGTGGTTTTAACTACAACTTAGGTTCATCAGCTACTTGGAGACAGGTATCTTAAACTCAGCAGATGTAAAACAGAGCATGCCCTTCTTCCACGCTCCTCCAAAACACAGAATTTTTAAAAATTAAAACAACACAAAAATAACTATAAACAAAACTGAAATGCATATATTGTTCCTCCTGTATTCCCTATCACCATGAACCGGGACCAGCATCTACATAGTCTCTTAAGCTATGTGTGGAATTGGAAACCATTCAGTTATCTTCCCCTACCACACCCCTGACATCCATTTGGTCAATTCTGCCTTCTAATTGGATCTCTAGTCTGTCCTTTAGGCATTTGCACTTTGTTAACTCAGTTCAGGACCATATTATTGGACATCTGGACTCGAGTAATAGAGGTGCCTCCTAACTTAATACCACCAGTCTTCTCTCCCATAACTCCTGAAACAAATATTCTACTTAAAATCCTGCTGCACTTTTTTTTGTGTGCAGCTTTCAGTATAAGGCCAAACTGCCCACAGCATAGAGGGCCTTTGTGAGCTGCTGCTTTTCCTGCCAAGAGTACCTCTTGATCCGATGTTCTCCCTATGCCAACCTTCTTGCATTTCCCCTGAAGTGCTGTGTTTCCTTACCTTCCTTATTTTTGTGCCATTCCCTATACCTGGAATGCCCTTTTCCCATTACCTGCATGGTTAATTTCTACTCCTCTTTAAAAACACAGCTCCAGTTTCACTTAAAGTATGTCTTCTGTAACAACGCTGAGTTGAGTGTGCCTCTGAAGCAGTTCCATGGCCCTTTGTGTGTTGCCTGCCCCTATTACAGCCCATTTTGAAGTTATAACCACTGAATTTCTTCTCTCACACTGGATTGAACATCTTGAGGCAAATGGTTATACCAGCAGGGCCAGTTTAAATCTTTCCCCCTTACAATATCCCCAGATTGCTATGCATTGAGTTCTTAGGTCTGCATAGTATAGTTGTTCACTTGCTTCATTTCCTTAATACTTCACAAACTGAAGTACTCCACTGTCCTTCAACATCATAACAGTTTGCCTCTGAAAGCTCACAGGCTGGTAATCAAGGAAAGGCTAATGATATTTACTCATTATCTTCTGTTTAAGAAATCTGGGAAGGTTGTGGTCATTTTATATATATTTCTTCCAAAATGACTGCATGTTGGGGGTCCTTAAAAGTGTTTGATTTGGTTATTTGGAAAATTGCTTTTGTTGAAAGTCACATTTGCTGGTAATGAATGCCAATGACTTGTTACTTTGGTGTAAAAACAAATGTGTTGGGAAGTGCTGATTTTAACTTAAATTTTACAGATTTGAAATTGTGTCACTGTTTATGTTCTCAATTGTCCTTTCTCCACATCTAGCTCAAGACTGCAGTGCAGATGACGACAACTTCCTTGTGCCCATAGCGGTGGGAGCAGCGTTGGCAGGAGTACTTATTCTAGTGTTGCTGGCTTACGTTATTGGTCTCAAGCGCCATCACACTGGATATGAGCAGTTTTAGAACCTGCAATCTGATTGATTATATAAAAACACATGCACATAACAAGATTTTCTTGCCTCTTAATTTTGAAACACTTCGCTCCTTAAGATTGATTTGTTGAAATCGATTTTTAAATCAGTGCTAGCATTGAGATTAATCTTTATTAATAAAAAACTGTTCTCTTTGATCAACTTAAAATAAAAAATGTTGTCTTTACTGGCGTGAAGACAAACTTGTTAAAAAACATCAGTGTGCAATGTTTTAAGGTCTGTCTGAAGAAGCGTTGGCCAAATTTTGATCCTAATCTAAGGTACATTAAACTTACTAACATGGCCATTACAAGAATAAAATATATAGCTGTCTCTTAATAGAATTAATACATACTGTTTTGCTACTGGTGTTCTGTTTCACTGTATAAGAACTATACTAATTTAAACTCATCACAGTGCCTTTGCATATAGTTCATTAAATACTGATGTGGCATAAA